CATGATGAAAAAAAAAGGTAATCATCAAGCAACACTGTAATACATTGTCAGCAAATAAACACAGCATAAACACAGCATAAAAAAGAGAAAGATGAAAAAACAAAAGAAAACTAAAAATTATTAGAATAATAAGCAGGAACACTAAAAAACAAGGAATACATCGTCAATCTATTTTAAAAAGAAATGTGAATATGAATACCACAACAAAAAAAGACATGATAATACAGTTACAATTCAATCAAACAGAAGGGCTTAACAAGAAAGTCTTTAGTTTGGATTTAGAAACGCAAAGTGATTTAGAAGATTTAATATCAGAGGTAAGTGAATTCCAGAGCGAAATGGCCGAGAATAGAATCATTTGTTTGCCGTAGTTAGTGTGTATACACGGAAGTAAGAGATTCTGGCTGATGCAAAGCGCGTTGAATTGAGATTATTAGTGATGCAATGAGGGAGAATATCTAAGACAAGGTGATCGTGCAAATCGTTAAAAAATAAAATACCAATGCTGTACCTAAACAGATGATGAAGGGGCAAAACACGGAGCTGATAGAACAGCGGGGAAGATTCTGCTTGTCGATGGGAAAACGTAATGATGCGTAACGCTTGTTTCTGCAGTGTTATTAATTGGGCGATGTGGGTATGATACGTACCACCCCAAGAAGAAATGCAGTAATTTAGGTGACTGTGGACAAAAGCGTAATACAAAGTTAGGAGAGTTTGCAAGTTGAAGTATGGCTGGTGCGGTGATTAAACCGGAATCTGCCTTAAGTGCTGAAATGCTGATATTGTACGAGTATTTTGAGTGAATGAATCACGTAGCGAGATTTTGAACAGCTTCGAGTAGGTCGATCAGATATGATTGATGTGGGTTCCAGATGGTCGATGCATATTCCAGTTTTGGACTCACGAGGGATTGGTAAGCGAGCAATTGGACATGTTTTGGGGCCTGACCAAGATTACGCCTCCGGAAACCTAGCGTCTGGTTTGCTGATGATATGATATTAGAAATATGAGCGTGCCAGGACAGGTCGTTAGAAAGAGTGATTCCGAGATATTTATAAGAATGGACATTCTCGAGAAGCGTGTTTTTGATTTGTTAAGACGGTACTATGGGATGACTGCTGCGCGAAAATGACATAGCTTTGCACTTATTTGTATTTAGGGTCATGAGCCAATCGTTACACCAAGTAGTTATGTTGTCTAGGTCTTTCTGGAGAGCAGTTTGATTGTGGCTGTCATAAATGGTACGGTAAATGACACAGTCGTCCGCGAACATTCTAATGTTAGAAGAGACATGCGAAGGTAAGTCATTAATATATATTAAGAATAAAAGGGGGCCAAGGACAGATCCTTGAGGAACGCCAGATGTTACTAGTACTGGGTTAGACAAGTGATTATTGATAGCTACGGACTGGGAGCGGTTACTAAGAAATTCAGTAATCCATTTGAAGATATCTGGGTGTAAGTTAAGTTTTTTTAACTTGAATAATAGGCACTGGTGAGGAACCTTATCAAAGGCCTTGCAGAAGTCCAGGAAAATGACGCCAGTTTGCACACTGATATCAAGATTAGTATGAATGTCATGCAGAAAATTGGCAAGCTGCGTTTCACAAGATAAACCCTTGCGAAACCCATGTTGAGCGGGATGAAAAAAGTTGTTCGAGTCAAGAAACTTTATGATAAGAGAATAGATGACATGTTTCATGATTTTACAAGGAATGCTCGTTAATGAGATGGGACGGTAGTTTAGCGGGGAGTCTTTGTTACCTGATTTATGGACTGGAACGACCTTCCCAACCCTCCAGTCATCTGGAATAAGACCTAAAGAAAGAGACTGGGTGAACAGCAATGATAAATAGGCTGGGACAATGCACTTCGTGTTTTTCAAAGTTTTCGTATTAAGTTCATCTATACCAGAGGAGGACGTACACTTCATTTTGTCAATGATAGCGCTGATTCCGCTTACATTAAAAGTGATGGCTGGCATTCCAGAACTTAGACAAAACGATGGTGAAGCGGGATGTGCGTTTGACTCGTGAGTAAAGACGCTTGCAAAAGCAGAGTTGAACACGTAGGCGCAATCGGCATCCTGAATAATTTTGTTGTATTCGTTCTTTATTTGAATAGCCTGAGTGTCACTAGGGTTCACAACTTTCCAAAATTGCCTTGGATTTGTAAGTAATGGGTTTGGTAGGTTGGTATTGTAAAATGTGTGTTTAGCTTGACGTAATGCGTGCAGGTAGTTCTTTTCTGCTTCATAATATTTATATTATACACAAGTACGCCCAGTTTTCCTGGCGGAGCGATAAAGGCGTTTTTTCTTTGTTCCAGGCGTTTTAAGGCAGTTGTAAACCATGGTTTTTGCTGAAAGAAACGAAAACTGATTTTCGGAATAAATTTGTCTGTTAGCTCCGCTAGTTTATTTTTGAAGCGTGTCCAATTGCTACCTACAGAATGTTCACAAAAGGTTGACTGGAATACGGGAAGGAATTGAATCATGGCATCGTTAATCTCTTGATAGTTACCTTTGTCGTAAAGACGTATAGTTTTCTCGAAGGTATTTCGCACTGACGGAGTGAATGAGAAGACAGCATGAATGGGCTTGTGGTCGCCTATTTCACATAAACACATAATGGACGAAAGGCTTTCGGGGAAATTGGTTAGTACAAGATCCAGAACGTTAGCAATTTGTTGGGTAACCCGGGAGGGTTCTGATACTAGCTGAGAAAGGTTGAAGTTTAAGCAAAAATCGACAAAATTCCGCGTCTCAGTGTTCCCTGGCGCTGAAGATGATTGCGGGTTACACCAGTCAATGAGTGGAAAATTAAAATCACCGAAGAGGACGAGCTGTGCGGTTGGGTGTTCTGTCACTAGCTTGCTTACGATGTCGTTAAGCTGGTAACTGAAATCAGTAGTGGCACTAGGGGGCCTGTAGCAAACACCGAGTAAAACGTTTTTTTGAAGGGTATGGATTAGTACCCATAATGTTTCCAGGCATGATGAAATGCTTATTGGCGAGCATGGTAGATGCTCGCGCAACGCTATTAGTACACCACCGCCACGAGTACCTGTGCGGTCTTTTCGAAAAAGGCGAAAATTTGGCAAGTCTGTTAGAACTTGGCGATCAGTGACATCACTACTCAGCCACGTTTCAGTCAGTAACAGTATATCGCTACCGCTTGATGAAACTCGGCTTGACACCAAGTCACGCTTCGGAAAGAAACTGCGCACTTTGGCATAGATTATCGAAAGTGACACACAGCGGAGCAATCAGTAATTTTCTGTTTGCCACGGGGAGCTGCTATGTGACTTCCTTGACTCCATTAGAAGCAGTGTCAAAAATATATTTCTTAGAACCGATGAATAAGGTTTGGAAGCGAAGCGAATACGGGACTCCTTTGTTTTTAGCAAATGCTAGAAGATTCCTGCGTAAATTCCGAACTTCCCGCGAGAAATCTTCACCGATACTATAACTAGTGTTCTTAAGCATACGTCCTCTCGAAAGAATATTTGTTTTAGTTTTATGGTACGCAACTTTAACTATTAGAGGGCGACAGCGGTTGGGCGAGTGACAACCAACGCCTTGTGCCCGTTCGATTTCTTTTGGGTCGATGTTTACTTGGAACCTCTCACGGCACAGATCAACAATCATACCTTCTGCGTCAGCAGTAGTTTCGGGGCTAGAAGACTCGGGAATGCCATAGAAAATTAAATTGTCCCGTCGTGATCGATTATCAGCATCCTTAATACGTGCTTCCAGCTTAGAAATACGATGCGCAGCTTCTTTATTAGCAGTGCGCATCACCACCATTTCGCTTCGGATAGGCGCAAACGTCTGGTAGTGACTTTCGATGGTACTTAATCGTTCACTCAAGTCCACTATACTCTTGTCGGTAGTGATTATCTGAGTTTTTAGGCCCTGAATTTTGGTAATTAGCTGGTTCTGACCCGTGGTTAGCTTTCTCAATGCAGTTAGTATGTTTTCAGAATTGTTAGGACCAGGATTTGTTTCCACATCGCCGGCCAGAATCAGCAAGTCGCATATTACATGCAAACACTCAACAGCAATGGTAATACAGGCTAAAGAAGATAGTGAGAGGTTTTTGAAGAAAAGCAAGAAGAAATTACTTTCTCTCTGCCTTGTTGACAAAAAGGTCAGGGCATCACGTGTATATTAGGGGTCTAATTTATCAGAAAGGGGCGGTGACCGTGGAGGTAGCTCTGTTGCTAGCAGCATCAGACGAGTTATTCGAAAGCCGCAGGTGCGGTCACTTCCAGAGGCAAGTTATCTTTTCTTCCACTTTCTTTCTTCACATTTGCGCTATAATTACTACAAAAAATCCGCTATACACTTTTTGCCTGTTTTGACTGTTCAATTTATTTATTCTAGTGTATAACAAAGGAACACGCGCCTTTATTACTCCCCTTTCGTTCAACCTATTCACGCCCATATACATGACGTGCGTTGTGAAACATTAACAGATGCGAGTTCACGCTCCTATGACTCTAGTCTTTTCGTTTTGACTTCATGTAATAGTACAGCGTAGCTAAAGAACGATGTCACAACAAGTGGTCACTCTCAAAACTTTGGTGTGCGTATATAGCAACTTTCAATTTCTTCGTGTTCACCTCATTGAGAATTCCATGTTGGCGAGCGCGGCTGACTGCACGACGTGTATGTGTGTGCAGTATCTTTAGGCAGCCACCTGGTGCTACTCATTAACAATAGCATGCTAATGAGGTCGCCCTTGAGACTAAGCAACGGCAACTGGAAACAAGCGTCTTCTTAATTCCCATTGTCACGGACCGCGCGCAGTGGGGCGCTCATTCTATACATCGACACATTGACACCGGCGACACGAGTGACATGGTGTCTCAGATCACGTGGTGCACATCTTTCAAATGGGACGCTCGCTTTCCGCGGAAATGAAGTCGCCTTCATGCCGACTGCTATGCGCTATATAAAAGAACCGTAATCTCTTCGTTCTCACTTACTCAGCAGCTCTTGTAGCTGGCTCGCAATATTATCTCTTGTTTTACATTCGTGTCAAAAACAAAACGCGTTTTAGTATCGGGAAACGCTCTCGGGTATACCGAATCAACTGATACTTCGAAATTCGATCATTTTGTTCCAAGTAAGTGAGGCTCGTGCAATACAAAAGATTTACAACAATCTTTATCGCAATTTGTTAACCATTTGACTGTTTCTTCCGCATTTCGCTTCGTTCTGATCAACTTTGGGCCGTAGTTTCTTTTCAAGAATCAGGAGCTGAAAAGAAGGTCAATGACGCCTTCTACAACTGGCAAGATTTTATTATGTGCGTTCAGTGGTGAGTACTGAGAATTGGACAAGTCCACGAATTTGTTACCTTCTTGTCTATTGTATGCTGCCCGAATTGCTATATTACGTTCATGCAGATGATATAAACAATAGTTTGAATAGTTCAGTACTGTGTAAGGGTGGTTTGAAAAAATGAATATAATTTTGTGATGCCCTTGCAACATCGCATACCCTTTTTTTGCCATAGGTGACTTTACACGTTGTTAAATCTGAGAGCTTCAGCTGGGCGGGTTTAGGAGCGTGCGGGTGAGTGGAGAGGGCAGCAAAGCACGACCCAATAAGATCTTGTCGGCTCGCGCTCCGCTGCCCTCTCCACTCGCCGACAGACTCGTAAACCCACCCAGCTAAACTCTCTAATAAAGGTTATCATATTGAAGGGTTCCGCTATGACCGCGAGAGTTAATGGCTTGTAAAATTTATTCCTGCTGAATAACAAGTGAAATATTGCGAGCATGTCAAATTTCCAGATGAGACCTTCATGTGCAATGTGGGAAAGTATACGTCTTCAAAAAAAAAAAAAACCGCGTAAAACGTATTCATACACTCTGAAAGGTTATTTGAAACAGCAGGGACACCTGCAGTAGTGAAGGCATCAAACCCTCAAGAAATATTTGAAACATGTAAACACCTCAGCCAAAATTAAAGAAAACTGCCTACCTTCATGCATCTATACAAGAAAAGAAAAACATTGTGATGTAGAAAGCGGCAGACACAGATATACCATGTCCTCTGTGTAGTGGACTCTCTGCTCAGACGTAGTTGAAGGACCACGTAACAAGTGACTATAGTGATAGATACTAAGTGTGAATCTATGAGAAACTTCAGGTTCCTAGCTGATTTAGTGCTATTCAAAAATATTAACCACTAAGAACATATATTGTGGAGTTTTGCGTCCCAAAACCGACGTATGATTGAGAGACGCCGCTGTGGAGAGCTCCAGAAGTTTCGGCTTTTTGGTGTCCTTCAACGGGCACTGAAATCGCACATTACACGAGATTTTAGCATATCGTCGTCATGGAAAAGTGACTGCCACGGCTGGGATCGCGCCCGCTACCATTTTGTCAGCAGCCGCACACCGTGACCTCGGCTCAGCTGTGGCGGACAACCACGAAAGTCAGACTTGCTTAAAGGCATAAACTGAGAAAGAGTTCAATTTTGGTGTAAGATCACCGTGCAGTCGACAAAATGAATGTTTAGTGACCATGCAAGAGAGCGAAAGTTCGTGATTTTCAAAAAGGTCTCAACACCAATAGAAGCTAAAGATGCACAGCTCAGTTACTAAACGGTCCCCTGCTCATGTAAGCGTATTTCACCAATAGTATGGGAGAGACGGAAAAACATACTTCAGTCATTAGGGCAGTCTGCCCCTCATCTTAAATACAAAAAGTATACAGTTATTTCACTTCTCATATGCACTGTGAAGCATACATAAAGTTTAAGAATATACCCTTGCAACGAAAATAACAGGAGCGATCTAAAGATCTAAAGCCAAATGGATCTGAGAATAAACAGGGATAGAGTTACTGCTTATGCTACCCTTGAAGGGAGCATATACAACAGCTATAAAGTGGGATAGCCGATCATAAAATTGCCACTAAGAGAAAAAGGTAGAGCGGTTGTTACAGAAGATGTGCGTGTGTTGGACAACTGACGGACGCATATGACAACGGGTTGTATATAAAAAAGTAGTTAGCGGGAAGATGATAGTTCAGGTTCTGAAGGAACGCAGCCACCAAATGAAATCTGCTTGCTCCTTGCGTGGCAAGCTCTGGACCATTGGTAGAGGTTCTCTTGCGGTGAACGTTATTATAGTGGTTAAAGACAGACAGACAGACAGACAGACAGACAGACAGACAGACAGACAGACAGACAGACAGACAGACAGACTGACAGACTGACAGACTGACAGACAGACAGACAGACAGACGGGCGGACAGACAGACGGGCAGGCAGACACAGACACACAGACGGGCAGGCAGGCCCAGACAGACAGACGGGCAGAGATAGATAGATAGATAGATAGATAGATAGATAGATAGATAGATAGATAGATAGATAGATAGATAGATAGATAGATAGATAGATAGATAGATAGATAGATAGATAGATAGATAGATAGATAGACAGACAGATAGATAGATAGATAGATAGATAGATAGATAGATAGATAGATAGATAGATAGATAGATAGATAGATAGATAGATAGATAGATAGATAGATAGATAGATAGATAGATAGATAGATAGATAGATAGATAGATAGATATTGATTTGGCTTGTACCACTGACGCAATCTCTATCCATTTCAGTTATCATGTTCATTGACGGCACTGAGGGCCGTTGCCATGGTTATGCACCAAAGTGGAAGCCACCAAAGGACAAGGTTGTAAATTGATAAGTTTACTTTAAGTCCGTATTGATTATTAACGGTATTCGTGCCATGTTTGGGGATTTCGTAAGAACTTTCCTGAGCTGATTTTAGAGGATCACAAGGACACCATTTACTGCGTCTTTTGGTTTACACAATTATCATCACCATCATCATCAGCCTTACGTCAACACCAGAGCAAAGAATTCTTCCCTGTTTTGCCCGGTCTTGTGCTCTATACTGCCACGTTACAGCGGGACACTTCCTAATCTATGTTTACACAATAGATTCCTCTGAAAGCCGGTACTCATCGTTTAGATTGACCAAGTCTTTCGTCGCAGCGTGGTTTCTACTGTAATCTCGTGATGTATTTTGCTTCTTGAGTGCATTTTTTGGTGCCCTGCTACGTGTTTAACATCTATGAATTTTCTTGGGACTCAGGTGCACTAAAAGCATTGTGTTTAAAAGCACTTAAATTCGGGCGTGTTTGTACTCGAACATGGTGGCATTTAGAGCACGTAAACAGACAAGAAACGAAAGTCGGAGGAATGTGGATGAGCACTGTGTTGTTGCTTTTTGCTTCTGGTCCTTCCTTCGTCGTTCTATTATGAAAAATCAAGACAACTCTATTACTATTACTATAAATAGTCTATTACCTTCCTACAAGGTCACTACTGCGCTACGGCTATATTTCTACGAGTCATATCTGGACTGAACGGAATGTCCCTTCTCATCAATATTGCTACGCTGCGTGGCCGTTGTGGACCATCACGATATTGAATTACATTATAATATGAGTTGAGTGGTAGTGTAAGTTGGTAAACTTTAGAACCTCAAACCACTTATTGAGGTTTATGCATCAGAATTATGCGAAAGATAATCATCGCCGTTTGCATCCATAGACCTTATTGGTGGAATGAGTCTAAAAATTCACTCTTACTGGTTGTCCTAAACAGGCTTTCCCCATATGTGGCGTGGACCTGGTAGAAGGAGCAACATGCAAGGTATGTCATCGCCTGCATGTTTTGAATTCGACTTTTTTTTACTTAAGTCCTTTTCTTGCAATGTTGATGTTTTTGCTGTACAATTACAATTACAATAAGATTACTTCCCCACAGTGGCCATGTGGCCACAATTGGGAGATAGAATGTAATATCTAAATTGTCTTTTTTAATCATGAAACTGAGCAGTGAATCAGAGTAAGCAGCATTCATATAAATCTAAAAGGTTCCGCTGTGCAAAATATTAGCTCCGGTGCCAATGCCTCGGCACTTCCTTTAAGCACTTTTCACGAATACATCGTCGACTTTCTCGGCGCGACGTGCAACTCCTTGGCAGGGGAAAATATAAAACGGACGTGCATAAGTGTACCTGTTGAACAAATTGCTCTTATCCGACAGTTTCACGCCGAACATGAGTTCCACCGTGGGCCTTCTAAAAGGCTTTCGAAATGAAAAGGGCCCGTTTACGCTAGTGACAAGTCTGCCTGAGCGTTATACGTTTCACGCTCTCCGCCCGCCATGCGCGGGCTGTTTCCTTCGAACACGTCTCCTGTTCTTTGCCGTGTAGAGAATGGGTCATAAACTCCTTTTTGTCCCGTTCTACGTTTGCCGGAGGGCGACGTAGCTAATCAGTGACTAAGGAGGTATGCTGCATCGGTGGGTCGCGTCATCTGCGTCAGCAACGGGAGGATTCGAGCTGCTTGGTTATTCTTCCTGGTTTTTACGCCATAAGCGCGGACATCATCAATATTGTTTCTGTATTGTTGCTCCCAGTGGTCAATAAGAGCGTTTTATCTTGTCCTCGTATTGAAAAAAATGCTCAACGTAAAAGTGAATAACTTGTCCTAAACCTCGCCCCCAGAAGAGTGGTGCAACTATACAAGGGTATAGCCTTAGATAGCTTGCGTTTGCTAGTTGTTTTTGTGGAAACAACTGACAAACGGCTAATGTATGCTCTCTGAGATTGCCGCTCGCGCTAAGCCGACATTATCGATAATTTGAGGTTGAATCTTAGAAACAAAGCCGAATAGATTCGAGCACTGTGTTGTCCAAGCTTAAAGACATGAGCTTGAAGTGAACGGAAGCACCAGTTCGGAGCTTACAAGCTAGAAAGCTCCCGGTGGCTGCTCGATAGCGTTAAGGTGTGAGGCACAGTGGAAAAACCGAATTTTTTTTCTCAAAATGTTGTTTTCAGATTTTGGTTATGTTAAACACCCAATTTATTGCCCGTCATTTTGCTGCATGAAGCCTCCGTCTACACAGCTTCTTTCCAAACATGCAAGCAAAAATGTTCGACCGCCCATCACCTACGAAACTGAAACTGAATGTGCCTATGTTATGTCAATCACAGGATTAGCCTATTATGTAGTACTTTACTGGTTATTTAGCACTCATATCTAAAGGGAGCATGTAATAACGCCGAAAAGCCCAGTCAACACATAATATTTATTCATAAATGTCACAATCCTCTCACCAAATAAACGCGTAAAGTATTTGACGTGTTTTTTTTTTTGCTCACGGACCTTATGTGAGCCTGTAAACTATCAAACTTGCTTTGTTTAACGATGTGTGTGATTTCAATGAATAGCAGGCGTTGTGCCCCTCCAGGTGGCAGTTGCAAGCTTGCTCTCTCTCTATTTTCTGTGTCCTTGTGTATCCGTGTACGCAAATCAAATAAATAAATAATTATACCAGAAGCCCACTTAATATTTTCAAGCAAATTGTGACTCGAAAAGCTTGCCTCACAAATGATCAGCATCGTAACGTAAGAGCAACTCCTCATGTCTCTGTTGCTACAAAACAAATCGCTTCTCGGACTTTTGGCTAAGATCAAAGTGTTGCTACAAAACAAGTTAAAAAATATTTTAATTGCCGCTAGAGAAGAGGCACACAAGAGTAATGTTCGCAATGATGCTGGCGAGAAATATTTCAAATGTACTTCATATTGTACACTAAAGGTTCAGAGTGATGACTGCTTTTTAAGAAAGTTTTCCATCACATGGCTTCACACCTTAAAGAGCTCGTTTCACAGAAGTTCCCGTGTCGTTAGTTGTGAGCAAAAAATCATATTCTGCATGACCGAAAAAATTGAGAAATATAAGCACGCGTCCGCTAATGAATGTACTGTTAATGACCAATTTTTCTTTATTGCCTGGAACATCGATACTGTTTGCACTTTACATAAGTGACAAAACACAAGGGTACCACTAAATACATCAAGGAGCTACAATTTTTTGCTCATTTTCTCCAGTGTTACAAAAGCCAAAACATCAATCAGTAGTCAGCGGATAGCTGGTGGTTCTTCAATGTATTTTGTTGATGTATTTTGTAGTGTGAAATAACTTCCTTTGCTTGAAAATGCAGTGAAACAGTGCGAAGTAAAATTGTACATGGCCATCGGGCGTTGCAAATGTGATTATCATGACTTGGTTCAAAACATAACGCCCACCACAAAAAGGCACGCACGTTATCACGCCTATTCTTATAAGGTCACGTAGTGGGTGCATATCAAGTTAAAAAAATTCCAGGCACTAAGTGTTTGAAATACCCACTAAAACAGGCTATAGCAATCGTGTTTAACTCTTAGAAGGTGAAGCTTCAGGGTGTCATAATTTTTTTCAGGGGTTTGAACCCTGGTGAAGCTCGCCGTGCACTTTGAACAGCTCCCCCGCGGAAAGGCGGGGGCCGCAGGTTTACGGCACCGTACTATTACGGCAGACTTGCGGCTAGCTTGAGCGGGCCCTAATGCGTCCTTGGACAGGTCGCAACCTGTGTTGAAAACTGAAATACATTCTTTTGGGCAGTTGTCTAAAAGATCGGTAAGCGTTGCGTTTTGTTGTAGGTAGCAGTCATTCCTGGAATGCTGCCTTCAGTGCCATTGCCATGGAATCGGTAATCTCTCTAGAACTGGGGTGCCTCTCGAGGCTGTCTCATAACATGCGCATGCCGCAGTGACCAAATTGCCTTCCTGGCCGCAAATATTGCAGTTTCCAATTTTCTGACGGAAACACTTCTGGCTGTTATAGGTTTACATTTACTACGGAAAAGGGCTATTTCATGTCCCCGAAAGTCAATGAATGAAATATTTCTTATAATAAAGAAATAAGTAATGAATGCAATTACTTATATTGAATCGAATTGATTTACCATATTGTTACGGGGAAGATTTATTCACCGAGAGCTGGTCTTGCTTACGGCTTAAAGAGCGCACAGTCATGCAGGCCAACGGGAGAAGCTCGAGAGTCCAGCCCACTACAACCACGTTGTCGTCTTCTTCATTTGGGTGCCAATTCACCTGTGTCGGGGTGACAGTTTCGTACACGTATCATCATGTACAGTCCATACATATCGACTTATTTAGCTTCATGTTAAGCACCATGCAGCCAAACATTTGAAACGCCCGCGAAGAAGTGTCTTTTATAATATCGATTTGTGGAATGCACATTAATTTTATATGCGTACCTATTCTTGTATTGTAGTACATTAGCGCAAATGAAAAGTGCATGCTGCGACATGCCAACGCGCCCCACAATGATTTATTCTAAACCTTCTACCAACCCAAGCCCATATCCCACTTCAACGCTGTTTTAATTCTCATTAGTCATGTCTTCTGCTGCTATCAATTTAACAATATACCAAGGAAGTAATGCAAGACTTGCTGCTATTACTATTGTGCAATTTATAGCAAGCTACAACCTAAAAGCAAATTTAAGCTCCACCGACACAATGTTGCTTCCTTAGGCTTTGCTTCGTAGTTGCCGTTTTCTGCTACTGTACTTGAGCAAAACCGCAAGCAACAGGGCATGTCTTACTTATATCATTGTTACGCAACTTGTAATACTTACAACATCAGAAAAGTTCAGGCTCCGCCCACAGGCAGATGCCCCTCACTCCTCGATAGGATGCACATTTTAAAAAATGTGTTTGATGATATGGAGTACTTGGCACTCTACTACTGCAGAGCGAGAAAGCCATCCCAGTCAAAGAAGAACCGTATACATCAACACCGACTACTCTAATAGAAAACGTATCTGTGTTAATAATAAATTGGGAACACTTTACAACGCTATATGCACTCTACTATCAGAGTGCCATGAGCTGTCTCGCTTAACAAAGCGAGATCTCCTGTGTTTAGAACAAGAGTCAACGATTTAGAGTACTTTATAGTTTACTATATGGGAAAACATATAGCCGTCCCTTGAGCAATAAAATGTCTGTTTAGAATGAAAACTGGTTAACGATTTCGAGTACTTGGTACTCTTCTATGGGAGAGCATAGAGACGTTCCGTGGGCCTCACAGCATCATCCATGTATGGAAAAAATTTATTTACAGCATGTACAGAACCAAAGGCTTCATAACATTTCAGTAACAGGGCTCATGCACGTCTATGTATGTGTGTTTAGAAAAAATGGTTTCCGATTTAGAGAACTAGGTACTCTACTATTGAGGCCATCGCCTAAACGACGGTCTTGTATCACGGACCAGCATTTGCTCTAATGCCTGAGTGAATATTTCGAAACCGGTGACGTGTCGTGTTGGTGGGTTTTCTATTAAGACACGTGTTCATGCCACAGGTTTTCGTAAGAAAACTTGAGCTTCCAGAGAAACCTCAGCTGGAATTTCGGCACCATTACGTGATTCCAACTTAACATTTCGAGCGGCAACGTCAAACTCTTAAGTCACTATAGGCCTGGTAGTTGCATTAGCAGAGAAAGTTCTTAAGGTTAGAACGAAAGCAACCCAACACGAACCGTCTGCACAGAAAAGTGTGCCGCAATTTACGGGAGGAGCTTCGTGCCTATTGGTTGTAACCGACAGGATGACGCTGTCATTTCATGTTACAGTAGATAGCCTTCATGAACGCCTGTTTTAGGGTAAGGCTAGAGTAACTGTGTATGCTCCCTATGGGACCAGAGTAGCGCGTACATCCGCCATCTTGCCTGGCTAGCAACCACATATGCGGCGAAGTCACCCTCTGTTTTTGCATACAAGAACCCTGCTC